TGCGCAAAAACGTGCCGCTGAGTTTTAGATCAGAGAAGGATAGGCAGGCTGTTTCAGTGGTCCAGGGCTACTGCAAGAAGGCATACACACACGCCCTCATGTACCGCGAGACGCGTGTGGAAGGGCCTGAAGGCAAGAAGACGTACAAGAAGTACAAGTCACACAGGCGCCCGACCCCGAAGGAATGGAGACAGTAGATGGATGGCGCATTCTTGTTCGTTGAGCGGAACTCTTTCAGTTTTTTTCCCTGTTTTTCTGGATGGAATGTTGTACAAAAGCGACGTGTTTGTTGAAAGCTGGCACATTTTTGCGACGGAAGTACGTTAGCGGGTGATATAGGTACGCTATAGGCGCGGCAGAGGCATTTGTGAAGTGGTTCAGGGTCTCCCGGTACACGTGTAGGTGTGTTGACGTGAAAAACAAAAATCTGGAGTACGAAAATATGTGGGTGAAAAGTTTCTCTCGGGCCAAGGTCGGGGGTTCGAGACCCGCCGCGAGCACTTTTTTTTTTTGTCTTTTCTCTGGCGACTCGCTACTCTTTTGCGCCATGCTACGGGCGTTCTGAAGCTGTCTTTTTTTTTTTTTAATTCGATCTCAGTCAAAAGTTATGGAGGGACAACCAAAATCGGGTCCTTGAAAATTACCACTTTATGCGGATTTTTTTTGTGCTTATTTTTTTGGCCGAGCATGTGCTTACGGCAGCGAATTATGCGCGCAGTGATGTTCGTTTTCCTGTTATTATGCGTAAACTTATGCATTGTTTGTTTTTGCCGACGGAGTCGATATCGACTTCACAGCATTTTTTTTAGGGTCAATGCGTGAGGTGCGCACGTGCCCCTGTCTTTGCCGACACAGTTAAAACACTTGCGGCAACGTTGTTGATTCTGATTCTGTGTTCTGTGCTCTGTGCTCCTCTGATTCCTTCGCACGAAGCAACAAGTGTACCACTCAAGAAGCAACACACAGACGAACGGACAACACGAGAACACCAGCCACAATCATGGCTACACCACTCCCCAGCTAGCTCCCAGCACGCCCTCTTTGCCCCATTCCCCTATTTCTATTTTCCCCGGCCTCTGTTGTGCGGATGCAGCCACGCGGTCGCTAAAACTACTATTCTCTTGCCTTGCGTCCATACAAGCACGCAGGATGGAAATAACACATTCCATGAAGGCAGAGGACGGCTGGAGCAAAGCGATGTCTTTCGCAACTTGATGCCATTCAGAAAGGTTTCTCTTGTGCCTATTGTCATGCCAGAATGCCCACAAGTCGTAGCCGGTGTCAACTTCAGAGGCAGCGATATTTTAGTCAACCATCTGATCTTTTAGTCTAGCGACGACATCTTCCGAAACGAAGGGGAAGCGATCGGGAAGGTCGATGCCAGCAACATTCAACTGATGCTGCTTCACATAGCGGAAGTCGAAGAGCCACATAGCCGTGCGGCGTCGTGCCGTGGGTGCCGCTGGTGTTGTGGGTCGTCATCATCCGAGCTGCTTGGAGCGTATGCCACAAGAGTCGATTCGGCAGTTGCCATGGGTGAAGATCGAATATCGTGGATCGCGGTCTGCCTTCTACCTTCGCTAGTTGTGCTGTGCTGCTGTGCTGTGGTCTTTCTTTGTTCGGTGGTCTGGTTGTCTGCAGTCTGTGGTGCAGCTGTTCAGCTGTTCTGCTGTTCTCTTGGCTCTTGGCGCGGAAAAAAAAGAAGTCAAACCCCCCAAAACCCCCAAAACCCCCGCAGGTCCGCTGTCTTTACTTAAGTTTCACCGTGGATGGTGTTTACGGATATAGTTTGATTTCGGGTGGACGAGGTTGGGGTTTTGTCCGTTTTTCTCCATCTAAGGTTCGTGCCTAGAGTTAAGCTGTAGTGTTTCGACCAAAGTTTTGTTGACTTAGAGGCGAACATTCCTCGTTATTGGGCATCGAGTTAATTTGGCTTGGTATGACGGCCTTTGCGATCGGCTTTTTATGTAAATGTCTGCATTTATCTGCAATTGTCGGAGGGCAAACAAAACGTTTGGGTGCGGTAGGTCGTCAAAGGCCGAAAGAGAAAGAAGGTTGACTCAAGACCTTGTTGCTTAGAGAGTAAGAGACATGCGGTAGGCCACACCATCGCCATGCAGCATGTCTGTCAATACATTCCATCCGCGTACCCCCCGGAGGCCCCGTAGACAGTATACTCTGCCGAGCACCCCAAACACAAAATAATAATATTATAATAGTAGCTCACAGCGAAGGCGTTATTCAAGTTTTTGTTCAAGTTGCTGGGGCCACATGAGGCGCCTGACTCACTGCTGATCCACCCCTATCTCCAAAATGAAGCGAGTATAACCACGCTTATGCATAGTATGCCCATGTATGCGCGATATTATGCGCCAAAAAAAAAAGGTATGCACTGGCGAAAGTATGCGTTTCCTAATGCACGCTAATGGTCATCTATGTCGAAAGCAATGCCCCCATGTTAGGTATAAGCCTAGGCGTTTTTTGAACACACGAGCCAGAGGTAATAATACAATAAGTGCTGACACCAACCAGGGACGAGAGTTACCGTATAGGTTGCGCCGAGCACGGAACGTTGTTCCCAGTGATGAGGTACTGTATCGCAGCTGAGTACACCCAGTGATAGGTTATTGTTGTTATTGTGGTTGTTGTTGTCTTCACAAAAGTCATGAAAATATATTGATGTACCTACCCTTCGACCCCCAACATTCGAAGCGTTGTGTCCACGTATCGGATCGGGGGATACAGCAAATGTCGACACGTAGCGCGGTTGATTTTCTGCTGTGGCGCATAAAACAGCAAGGTGTGCCTGCATAGCTCAGCTGAAATATCGCGTTGATCNCGCCGAGCACGGAACGTTGTTCCCAGTGATGAGGTACTGTATCGCAGCTGGGTACACCCAGTGATAGGTTATTTATTGTTGTTATTGTGGTTGTTGTTGTCTTCACAAAAGTCATGAAAATATATTGATGTACCTACCCTTCGACCCCCAACATTCGAAGCGTTGTGTCCACGTATCGGATCGGGGGATACAGCAAATGTCGACACGTAGCGCGGTTGATTTTCTGCTGTAGCGCATAAAACAGCAAGGTGTGCCTGCATAGCTCAGCTGAAGTATCGCGTTGATTCGGTGTGTTTCTTCTTCAATTAAATTCAGCATCGACCGCACGAACCGGCTGACCAATGAAAGACGTCAGTCTCAGTGCGATTGAAAACACAAGATTCTCCTAAATGCCATTAACTACCCCGTGAGCGTGAAGGGGCGGTATGGGGGAGGCGAAGCTATTATTGTCCGGATAAAAAATGGCAGAAACAGTAGCAACAGAAAAAAACTGCACGCGTCTACCAAGCAAGGTGCTACCTTGCACTCGAGTTCGTTTTTGAGTGTTTTCACCGTCATCATCCTACTTTCTTTCACTATACTACTGATGTGTGTGTGCATATATGTCCTGGGACGAACCCCATTATATCAACAAACGTTGTACATTGGAGTTAGTTAGAAAACAGGGCCGATCTTATTTTACAACACCCACAGCCCCGTTTCTTCGCCGTGTGTCTGCTTTCAATATTTCTGTTAAACTTAAGATGCCGTGTTCCTCCACCTTATCGGTTTACACTTTACCTCGGGTTCGACGATATGAATACTCTTGTGTGGCGCCAAGCATGCATTCATGATTGTATGAATGCTCTCCTTTGCTGGATACGGCTTACGGCGGTCATCATTTTTCATACCCTGGAAATTCTAACACATCTAAAACAGCCTGTTAGTGCGTACTCTACACCCTAAACAACGTAGGTCTGGACCACTGAACCGTCGCTCTCACTCCCTCGCGTCTCATACTTCTACCAGGTTGTGTTGATCTTTGTGGCGGATATGAGCTACACGAGTGCGCGTGTAGTCGGACAAGGCAGAACAACAACGCGAGAGGCTGCCATGAGGACGAAGGCGGATGGAAACACGAGTAGTCTCATTATCTATAAGTCGGTCTGGTCACATAGTTCCAACCGTCCACGGAATGCAATAATCTCGCGGTGGACTTCGAATTCCCAAGGGGGCTGGTTCGAGCCCCGGCAACGCCGGCAAAAATACTTTTCCCCACTTGGTTTTCCTGGCCCAAGTGGCAACGTATTTTCAGCTGCGTATTTTTACATCAGTGTATTTTCACCGGTTGAAATGGTAAAACGTGTTGAACGTGACCAAAAGAAATTGGAAAACAAGGTCAGAGGGCTGGAAGACATATCGAAACATTTAGACTATAGAAATAAAAACAAGTCTTCCCCGCGCATGAGCATATTCATCACCAAAAAATGTTAGGAACCTCCACTATCCCGGGGGGGGGATCACAATGACCAACGACCCCTTTTTTCAGCATGGTACTTCACGTCCATTCATCACACGTAGGCTGAAGGAGTATTGCCGTGACGTTTTCCGGGCTGAAACCAATTCCGACACGCTGAATAGAAGGGGGAACTATATTACCGTACAAGCGGTCGAACAATCGAAAATATTCCTAATCTTTCATGAGACCTCTTACCGTGATCCAACATGGTGCTGGCTTAACGTTTTTCTCTCGCGCAACTGAAGTCGAGATGTCAACAAGATTGGCTACCTTTGGCGTTCGTTTGCTGTCCAAACGGTCGCGCTTATCAAAAGCATCAACTGCCGCGCGTGAGAGCAACCTCGACAACAACACGTCCAATTTCGGAAATGTTCCCTTACCTGGGTGGAAATGGGACTCTCTCTGCAGTGGTCATTTCCTCCGCGGGAGTTTCTGTACGTTCCAACCAAGGGAGCCGTCTCCACGAGTCTTCCCACTCCAAACAAGTGATGACAACCGACATCCGAGACATGCTCTATAGTTGAAGGCAGCATGGTTGGTTGCTGTCGTTTGTTTGGGACTGGATGATTGGTGTTTTTGTTGTCCTTTCGTTGGATCGAAAAGGCGGTTCCTGCGTTGATGATGACCGACTGACGGGTGCCGTTTCCCGTCAGGCCAAGGCACATTTCCCGAAAATCAGGGTACAGTGCCAACGACCGGCCCGGGTGTTCCGTGACGCGACGCAGCGAACGTGGGCGTCGACGACTCAGCTAGACCCATTTCACGCTGATTCGAGGGATGTATTCTGAGTCGCTTCTTGACCAGCGTAGACACATACTTCGAAGTACAGGGCAAATGGTCGCTATCAAAACTCGTTCGAAATATTTCCATTAGCTCATGACGCTTGCGGGATATAGATAAGTTTGTGTGGTTCATCTAGCCCATTGTCTCTCCGCCCGGGGACTCCATTGACAATGACTAAAGGCCCATCGTTGCAGCGGGCCCACTTGCAATGCTCTCATCCTTGAATGCCACCCCCCGGTGTTTGCCATCGGGGTTGGGTTTTCGTCACCTGGCAGCGATGTTGTAAAACGAGCCCATCACAACGTGAGTTAGGCAACCAGGCTACGGGTTTTGTTTTTGCCTTTGGGTCTTTTTGTTTTTGCGATAACCACAAATGGTGGTCTGAATGGTGGCCGAGTAGATTATGTTGTGCGGGGTCGAGAACCCTCACTCCACGCAAAGGGGATGATCGCACCACGTTGTGTTAAATTGGTCAACCACCCTCGTGGCAGTTGCACAGCATTTTCAGCTGTAGATTATGTTGTGCGGGGTCGAGAACCCTCACTCCACGCAAAGGGGATGATCGCACCACGTTGTGTTAAATTGGTCAACCACCCTCGTGGCAGTTGCACAGCATTTTCAGCTGTATCTGGAAGTAAAAGCACCAGAACATACACTAAGTCATCCGCAGCTGTCATTCATACACAAGGAAGTCAGCAAAATATGCCGAACACCCTTAGCGGGATGCAGCGCACCCTTCACGCGACTCGCCGAACACCTCACGGCGCTACGCGCTTGATGATGTGAGAGCCTTGTCCGGTGAGGACCCGGCGTGCTCCGGCTTTGTAGGGGTGCGAGGTCAATGGTCTAACGACTACGGCAGGCATGGCCATGAGTACACCCCCCCCTCCCCCATCCCCTCCATTGCTCAGATGTATGTTGCCAAATAGTTGTTTTGTGTATATCGTTTGACGACAACGAACACCAGAAGAAGACGTGGATATCGACATCTTGGAGGCACGATGCACTTGTTCATAGGACCTCATGAGGTGCCCCTTTATGGTGTTTGGCGTCGGCATGATCTTCTTTCTCTCGTGCGACGGAAGTGCGACATGTGATGCAAGGACTCCTGCCTTCAGCGTTTACTTGCTGACCTACCCTTTCACGAGATGGGACTGCCTGAACGGCGTTCACGCTTGAGACCACCATCGGCAGCCGTGCGTGAGCTCAGCCTCAAAGCACGTGCCGCCTGCGTTATGGTGGGGTTCGTTGACAGGCTCGAATACAGCTGTATTGATATCACACTTGCATCCTACGTTCGTTGTTAGAGTGCGTGGCGGAACTGGCCTGTGTTGGGCTACGACGAGGACAAGAGCGATATCGTAGTCCGACCAGAGGCTTGTGATTCATGTGGAAGTCCATGTTCCGTTTGTTAACAAGCGCTTCGCCGATATATAGATTCTAGTAGTCGTACTTACGCGGTGGCTGAGGTCCCACCCCATGTCTGTAGAACGCCATGCCTTGCCTCTGAAGCAAATGCCTGGTTCCTCATGTGTAATGTGGCCTTACAACGCTATTCCGTCAA